TATATATACATATAAAATTGCCTATGTTGGCATAAAATAAATGTACAATGATATAATATTGTATATATATTATATTTATATATACTGCAATTACGTCGTTGCGTGAATTATTCAGAAGAGAATTCAACGGTTCCATGTTAACTGATTAGTTCAAAATAAAAAAATTTAGCGTCAGAGATCTCGATTACAATACCCTTTTTCGGGAAGTTTATCATCTTAACTGTGGAATGATCTAAAAATATCGCGAGAACTATCGAATCATCTCATTTCTGCACCTGTCGCGATTCACTGTCTGTCATTCGTCCAAACATCTGCGATGTCATCCATGTGATCTTGACTTAAAACATCATTGTTCCTCGTGACCGCACATCATCGAGTTACTATCTTTCCAAGGGGAAATTGATGAAAACCAATCAGGAGCATAATTTTGAAATATTTTGTGGATAATTCTATAACTTGGGCTAATAAATAAATGCAATATATTATACAATTTTATAAATATTTCATGATATAATAATATATTGTAATTAGTGACAATTAATCTTTTTTTAAATTCTTTTATTGGAATTTATCAAATAATTTAATCATATGATTATTGAAATGACTTTAAATATTACTTGAAACGAGAAATTCTTAAGTTTTAAGAAATTAAAAAAATTTTGATAGTCATATATTAATGCTAAATATATTGGGTTGTCCGGAAAATTCGTGCCGCAAAAGATTTAAATTTAATAAATGAAATAAAAAATTTAAATCTTCTGCGTTTCAATTTTCCTTCAAAATCGGCACGAACTTTCCGGACCAATATTTGAACATTAAAAAAATGTTTTGTTATGTATACTATGTATATTATGTACACTATAAAATCTATATCTTATATTTTTCTTTAAAATATAGAGTCTTATCTAAATATCTGTGCCCATAGAATAAAATAAAAGATTGAAAAATAGTACGGTACAACAAAAAAAATAGTATTTTTGAAATATTTAAGATTTTCAAATATTTTAAATTTCCAGGATTTAAACAATTTTTTAATTTTACTTAAAATAATTCGGAATTTTTGTCAAATATTTGAAATGATTTAATACACTTTGTATTATTAGTTATATCGATACTGTAGTTAGGTACACATAATAAAATATCAGAATATCATATAATGAGATACAAAAATATTTAATATAAAATAAAATAAAACATTCACTACAATATCATAATGTTGAAAAATAAAAAAGACAGGAATATATTTTTCAGCAAAAGATTTCTATGAATAGAAGGAAGCTTAGTCATCAATGAATATATCGTACAAATATACTGAAATTCTTAAAATCTTGGTTAAAATTATTAAACGTTTGCTTTTTAGATTTTTGAAGATAATTTGTATACTACTAAAAACTTCGATAAATTCGAATTTATGTTTTCTAATAAATATATTTAATCTTTAACAAATATTAAAGAAGAATTTATATTTTACATTACACAGAAGTGGAAAATATTATAAAATATGTATATTATCTTTTAGAATGTTGATGGCATAAAGTATTATCGATTAGATGCTCGTAATTTTCAGCGAGCAATTTATGATTACCTGCGGAAACGATGTGTATGACATATGTATTATACAGTGAATCAATAATATGCGTATCGATCATTTTGTCGTAGTGGACAATGTATTATGGAAGCTTAATATCATTCTTCATTATTTATTCATTAAAGACTGTTAAACCTTTTGGAAGACATATAGACAGAGAAAGAGAGAGAGAGAGAGAGAGAGAGAGAGAGAGAGAGAGAGAGAGAGAGTTTTAATTATAATAATATAATTATAATATTATTTAATAATATATTATAAAAGTTATTTTTTTAATTGTTATTTTTAATTGTTATTTTTTTAATTAGATAGTTATTACAGTAATTAGAATAGAATTAAGTCAATGACACATATTGTATACAATTTTAATAACTTTGGTGACGCAATTTATCGATTTTTTCAATTATTTTTTTTGCAAAAACAAAGTAAAATGTTCTAAAATAGTCAACTTTTAGTATTTGAATTATTTTCAAAGTTCTGAATATAATAAAAAATTATAAAAATTATATCGCGTAAAATTAATTGTAATGTTTTTTATAGATCAATGGTGTCTTAGTCGTTATCTTCGCATTTTTAAATTGCTGCTTTTTAATTACTGTTGATATAAAATCGATTATGATAAATGAGGATAGTCGATATTTAATTGACAATAATTGTACTCAACTGCTTTCAATTAATATGATTTAAATGACGCTATTATTTATAATAACATAAAATTTATAATAACATACTAGAGGGGTACAAATATATTAGAAAAAACGTATTAAATAATTAAAAAACGTATTTGATAATAATAGAGATAATGAAATCTTTTTTTGTGAATTGTAGAAAAGTGAAATTATTGGTTATGCATTCGATACAATACAGTGGCTCCTAAGAGATATATATGAATGATGAATTTGTCGTTTTCGTTTTCTTATACGCAATGATCCTGACGTTGAATTGTACACGCGACTTTACGTACCGCGATAAATCAATGATCCGACGGCCAATAGTCGTGCTGAGCAGGAAAAAGGGATTCATGAGAGATTCGATGGTATTGATATATAATATTCATAAGCAAATTGTCGTGCCACTGACATCGGCGCAGGCGTAACCATCATCGCTTTATTGTGCCATGCCGTTCATATCATATTGTTCTGGCACCTACTATCTGAAACGAAGCAAAAATATTCCTTGTTCATTCGTGCGACCTTCATCAATTTCGCTATGTCAAGGAGAATGTCGTTCATATTGATCCTCATTTTCTTTTTGCCATTTGTGCTTTGTCAAACGCCAATGAATTTGAGTAAGTATACAAAAAATTTACTCGCAGGGATACAAATGCGATATCTTTTCTTATTTTTCTTTTTCAAATATCGATAATGCAATTATTAATATTATGTTTGATAAAATCGTAATTCTCGATATTAGATAATTTTTGTTTTTACTTACAACGTTAATCTAAGTGAGTGCTTAGCTCTGTACAAGGTATATCTATTTCATACGAAATAACAATTTTAAAACAGTATGATCTATAAATATTAATAAAACTGAATAATAGTAATAATCCCGATATGATAATGAGCCTGACATTTTTTTTCCTATTTCTAAGTGGTCGTAATAGAAGAATCCGATTCATCTATTTTGGGTATTTTAAACGACGCGGTTCCAGAGGCAGAACGAAATTTTGCTAATGACATGATTACTGTTGATGTTTCTATTGTCACAGTAAATCGCGAGAATGTAGATGCAAGTTTCAAGACAGGTATGTTATACATCTATGTACATTTAAATTTGAAAATATTATACGTTGTCCGATCTTTCGAGATGCTATTTATGCATTTATGCATATTATGTAAAGTACTGTTTTTATTATTGCTCTTAGGAAAGCAATAATAGAAACTTTTATAACGAGTCTTTTATAACGAGGCAAGCTATACAAAGTTAAAAAATGTTCTTCATTTTTGTGACAGTCTGTGCCATTCTATATAAAGGAATAAGTATCATACTGGATATGACGTGGACTGGTTGGGATAAATTACGAAATATTGCGGACGAAAGAGGAATAATATACAAACGTGGCGATTGCAGTATAAGTCCGTATGTTCAAGCGATTGATGATCTTTTGATTATGAAAAACGCAACCGATGTTGGCTTAATTTTTGAAGATGAAAGAGGTGCGCAAATATTAATAGTTCACTATTGTTCACTCTTGATATTATACATAATGAATATTGTGCATGATTTGATTTATTGTATCTATGCATTATATCCATATATAACTACATTCCATAGTATTTTTGTAAACACCGAAGTTCAATAAAAAAATGTTAAAAAAATAATTTTTTTAATAATTTAGGCTTTTTATCACTTTAGAAACAATAGGTTTAATATTTAGTAAATCGGTTTCCAATAGTTTAATCTAAAACTTTTCTGCAATATGTATAATAACTCTTATACTTATTCACGAAAATCGTATAAATCTTAATTTTTATAATAAACTTGTTTTATACATTGATAGTTTTTTTCTGAATATCTTAGCTATGAAATGATGGATTTTTTAAATATAACTTTTTTAATCTTAAATTTCTTAAAGTTATTCCTTCACTACACAATATTTTGATTTCTCAACAGTTATGTTTAACATAAAAAAATCAGTAATAACTTCTCACCCTTTCTCTTTAGATTTGAGAAAAAAAATTGTTGAGAGAAAAAAATTGTTGTTAAATTATTGTTAAAATGAAAAATGTGGACATAGCATAATTTTTATAATAGTTCGTTAATGTTAATTAATTAGATTGATGCGTAATGATTTTAGAGTTAAATCAGAGCCTTTATTATCTTATCGGAAATTCGATAATTAGATTGGTGGTCATTGACGAATTGACAGAAAGAACTGTAGCGAAAATACGGGGTATGCGACCATCACCGTCTTATTATGTAATTTATGCTAGCACAGCGAAAATGGAAGAACTATTTAAAACGGTGAGAGATAAATATCATCGATTTTAGCACGTATACTATTTATTTTTAACACTTTAATATATGTTAATTAAACATTTGTACGTACTTTAAATCTTTAAGACTTAAATTTTTTAATGTTTAATCGTAAATAGGTATAAAGTTAAAGCAACATTTCAGGCTATTGGAGGAGGACTCGTTAAAAGAGAAGGTATCTGGAATTTAGTATTTACAGACAATAATTATAACGAATTTCGTTATATTACCGGTGATCTTCAGTTAAATGTTTCATTTACCGTTCTTAATATGAAGACTGACATTTGTTGTCGTTTAATGGGCGATGTATCTTGCACATGTCCTCCAAATTTTAAGGTCAGTTTTAATAAAATTAATTTTTTATGAAATTTGAATATCTCTATCGTTTTATACAAAAGAATTTATTATCTAGTAAATATGAAAGAAAATTAATATAATATTTATTTGGAAATAAAAGAGAGCTCTTTTATATATATTTTTTTATTAATAACTTATTAAGATCGTTTATATATCGTATAACTTATTAAGTTGTTTCTAATAAGCGTTTATAAAAAATTAATTAAAAAGAATTATGTTATGTTAGATATTCCCGCACTACTTCAAACGTTTGATTGGCTTGATCGTAAGCTTGATGAGTGATGTTCAAAGAGGAGGTGTAAGTGTAGCTGCAAAGACAGGTCAGTGTGATAAACCAGTTAATTCCACTTCAACTTCGAACATCACAATGGAAACATTCAATAAGATTTTAATGACAGTAAGTACTATCGAAGTAATTAAATATCCATTAAGAAAATAAAACATATCTGACTTATACTATGTTTATATTTATATTAGCAATTAAAGCATTTTCAAGATGAAAATTCAAAAGTAATTAACAATGTGTACTTAAATAAGTTTATTTATTTACGTTCTAGAGATTGGACAGTAACGATACTTTCGAATATTGGTCAGAGAAGGCTATGATCACTTACAAAGCGGAGATCGAGTTACAAATGGTTAGTCATGGTTTTGTAGATGCGCTCGCAACTTGGACGAGACGTACAAAAATTAAAGAAGCCGATGGGAGGAAAATAGAACCAGCCAAGCGATTCTTCCGGATTGGAACGGCACCGGTAAGAACCACATTTCGCTAAAGCTTTGTTTTGTTTTATTAAACAAAAAATCAACGTTAAACGAAAATTTATCGAATAAATAATTACAAAGTGATTGTAAATGTAAATGTATTTTGTAATTTTAAATAACAATTAAGTGCATTGTTAAGTCGTCAATTTTATTTAAATTAAAATTAATTATCAAGTTAATTTAGCAATTAATTAATTCTTCCAATTGTATGTATAAATTAAATTGAAATTTTATTCATGCGAAAAATATTTTTCATATTCATATTAGCGTTTTACCTATTTCGCTAATAGTAAGAAACACAACTTGTAAAAGTTGATCTAATGTTGCCTTAATTAATCTGATTAATAGTCAATTCCATGGTCTGTAATTAAGAAAGATCCAGTGACGGGTCAAGACATGCGTAACGAGGATGGAAAAGAAATTTGGGAAGGTTACTGTATAGATTTTATTCAAAAATTATCCGAGGAGATGCAATTCGATTATGATCTTGTTATTCCTGAAGATCTAGAGTTTGGCAAAAAATTGTCTAATGGTGAATGGAGCGGTCTGATAGGTGATCTGGCTAAAGGAGTATGTTTAAATATTTTCTCAAAATATTCTGTATATTTTCAAAATGTTTTTCACATTTACCACGATATTTTATTTTATTTTAATATAACTTTTAATCATTCGTTGCAATTAATTGCCTTAATTTTTTTCTTTCTTATTCTGTTTTATTATGCCACACTGTAGCAATATGAAATAATGTAATATTAAAAATTTTATTAATCTCAATCTTTGCAATCAGTTTCTTTTAAGGATTAAAAATTTTAACATTAATTAGCATTAATTAGTTTTGGAGTGTCCGCAAAAAGTTTTAAAAATTAAAGTAGCTTGATAATATTTTCTGACTGTAACAAGTAAATTTGTTTAATAATAGGAAACTGATATTGCTGTGGCGTCTTTAACAATGACATCAGAGCGAGAAGAAGTCATTGATTTTGTTGCACCCTATTTCGAACAGTCCGGTATATTAATCGGTATGCAATTTAAATCTTTTTTATATTACATATTATATTTTATATGAATGCTACCAGCAAATAGAATATAAATTTTAATAAACGTTTATATTCTTTTTACAATAGTTTATCTTAATTCTTATTCAATTTTTTATATATATTTTTTTTATTTTATTCAATCTGTGAGACAAGTTTTTTTAGCTAAATATGCATGTAAATGATAATTTAATATGAAAAAAATAATTTATGTTAATTTTTGTTTTCAAGTAATGAGAAAGCCAATCCGTAAAACATCTCTATTTAAATTCATGACAGTATTGAGACATGAAGTCTGGCTTAGTATAGTAGGAGCGTTAACTTTGACCGGTATTATGATTTGGATATTAGATAAATATTCACCATACAGTGCAAGGAACAATAAACGACTTTATCCCTATCCTTGTCGGTACGTATCTAATAATATATTCATTTTTGCTGCGAGTTCTATTATATTATAAACTACATACAAGCGATTACTTCGTATGTGTTGAATATATTTCATTGTATGTATGTAGTAGATAGCAATTTAATTTTTTATCAAAAAATTTTACCTGTTTTCTCCTTTTGGTTGAATCTAACAGACAAATTTTTTAGAGAATTTACATTGAAAGAGAGCTTTTGGTTCGCACTGACATCTTTTACGCCACAAGGTGGTGGTGAAGCTCCAAAAGCATTATCAAGCAGAACTTTGGTTGCAGCTTATTGGCTATTCGTTGTACTGATGCTCGCGACTTTTACTGCAAATTTAGCTGCTTTCCTTACTGTGGAAAGAATGCAAGTATGTCTCTTTTATTATTTCCCACACCTAATATATTCAATGAAAATTTTTGTTTTTCTTTTTTTTATTTTATTTTATTTGGAGAGATTTATTTTATTTGGAGAGTATTATTAAAAATATTAATATTCTGTAAGACATATCATTTCTCTCATATACTAATATACGTATTTTATTTCATTACATAGTCACCTGTACAATCATTGGAACAATTGGCTAGGCAATCACGTATAAATTATACCGTTCTAACCAATTCTAGTGCTCATCAATATTTCCAAAACATGAAAAATGCCGAGGAAAAGCTATATACGTATGTAAAATATATACCATTTTTTAAATGAAATGTTATTAAGGTCATCGGCAATGTTATGCATATTTTATATTATTTGTTTGTAGAGTATGGAAAGAAATTACACTAAATAGCACCAGCGATCAAGTAGAATATCGTGTCTGGGATTATCCAATAAAGGAACAATACGGTCATATTCTACAAGCTATTACTCAAGTGGGACCAGTCAAGTCTACCGAAGATGGTTTTAGAAAGGTACAAGAAAAAAGTAGAAGAAGAGAAAAAATGTTGAGAAATTGTGAAACGCAATAATAAATGTTTAGTTGAAATATATGATATTTTTCAGGTGATAGAAAGCGAAGAGGCCGAATTTGCGTTTATTCATGATTCGTCGGAGATAAAATATGAAGTAACGAAGAACTGCAATTTAACGGAAGTAGGCGAAGTATTTGCCGAGCAACCGTATGCTATTGCCGTACAGCAAGGCAGTCATTTACAAGAAGAAATAAGCAGAAAGTTTGATTTATTTCTTTTCTCTTTTCTATTATGCTTAATTCACTCGATTCCCAATTAAGATACTATCGATTATCATTAGAATTATAGCAAAGTATTGTATGTGTGTTTGAATGTATGACATTTTTTAATTCGTAAGTTTTTATGCAATTATAAATATCTTGAAACAATAAATGTATAGCGCGTTAAGCATTTAAATAGCAAAAAGTTTTTAGTAATTATATTGGAATGAAATGGATTAAGTAGCAAAGATTGTCATTTTATGATCGTCACTTATACGACAAATATGTAATATCAATAATATTATTTTTAGAATACTGGATTTACAAAAAGACAGATATTTTGAGACATTAGCAGCCAAGTATTGGAATCAGACATTAAAATCTCAATGTCCAAATTCCGATGATAATGAGGGAATTACATTGGAGAGTTTAGGTTTGTTATTATTTCTTATACATCACTAAATTTAGATGTTATGTAAATATACCTAATATATATAGAAAAAAATTATATATATATATATATACACACATACATATATATGTATATAAATGTAATTATATAACAATTTGCTATTGAAGTATTAATGTATTTAGGTATTTTTTTTTTAATTGATTCAAATTTTTTGTATTTAATTAATATTTCTATAGGAGGTGTATTTATTGCAACTTTGTTTGGACTGGCACTGGCGATGATTACTTTAGCCGGTGAAGTTCTTTACTATCGTAAACGCAACAACTCTCAGAAAGGAAAACAGAATAACAAAAAAACAATTAAAGATATTGAGAATGATAAAATCATCATGCAAAAAATTGCATCAAAGCTTCGAATGAAGCCCGCGCCTACTGATGCAGTTTTCGGCAAACAACTTAATCACACGCCGCGTGTTTCACACATCTCTGTCTATCCACGAAATTTCCCTTTTAAGGAGTAAACCATTTTCAACGATGATCTATATATTACGAACTCGCAAATCATTTCTGGTAAATCCCTATGTGTTTTTCAGAGTTTTCTCCTTTTCACAATCACTTTTAATACTTAGAGTTTATCACAAAAGTCAATATACGTAGAGTTTAAGGCGCATTATGGTGTATTTGTCAAAAGATAATTATTTTTAGACAATATTGTTTTATTATAAGATTATTCTTAATTAATAAAGTATCATGCAGAAATTAGAATTAAATGATTGATTATATTTGTATAACATAAAATTCTTAAAATTATATTTATACAAATTTTTGGGAGACTGTTCCAAGCTGACAAATAAATACCTTAATATTAATTAACTGTTATTGATTAGGATTATTAAATTAATTCACGTTAAGTAATAAATAATATACGCACATTTACTAAAAAAAGATGTACAATATGTTTTTAAAATATTTATATTACTATTACAAAAATAAATGAATACGCAATGTGTTATATTTATTTTTTCTTTTTCAGACTGTTAATTAAGGATAGTGACAAAATTAATTTTAATTTTAATGTTCTCTGATATCTTATTTTTATTTTTATTATTTTACATACAAAATATGAAAATTAAAATATTTTACAAAAAATTTCATATTTTATCAAAATAAAATATAAGATATCTTCTAAAATTGTCACTCTTTAAATAATGATTACTTTAATATTTTCATAGAGCGAATAACGAAAGAAATTGATTCGAACATAAAGAAAACATATAATTTTATTTAAGATAAGGATATTTATTCCTTCTCTCTTTTTATCGAAGAAAATCTGCGGTAATCTTTATATCACGTAAAAAGATCCAGCAAATATTAAAATAGCAAATAAAATTTTATTATCTTCAATAGATTTGTTATGAAGAAGAAAAATATAACTAATATAATATCTTAGGTGTGGAATACATTATATATATTTTTTTACAACGATTGCATTGGAACGGAAATATTTACAATAATACGCGCGGTCATTGATCTTCGAATTCACTTTCACATTGTATATAGTTTTGCTTCCTGAGCGTAAATAGAGCAAAAACGATGATATTCATTTAACAATTTGAAACATTTTTATTATTTTAATATTATTTTTACATTATTTTAGTATTCTGTTTAAAATTTCGAAAAAAATGCTATTTAAGTCTAATATATTTATAGTATGACATTTATAATATGATATTGCTGATAAATAATAAATTTGTAATTTTATTCTTAAGCGAATAAATATTAAATCAATTATAATTCTTCACTTCATTCATATTGATAAATTTATGCAGAGCTGTAATTTTCTTGTGTTATTAAACATTCTAAATTATCAAAATGTATACTAATACAATATATAAATACCTTAAAGTAACGGCTATGATTATGAATTTATTATCAGTAAAAGTTATATATTGTTCTGTCTTTCTTTTTCCATTGATGTAATTGTGCATGTCCTACAATCTCATTATTTTCACTAGTTTTCGTCGTAAACGCTCACTCCGAGTTACGTAAATAAAAGCAAAAGTAGTTTAGGTAATCGGTCGATTGTTTCGATCACTTCGATTGGAGCGCGTCACGGTTCGTGAATTTTTCCAACAAAAGAATAAAGGCTTATGCTAGGTAGGGAATATCTGTTATTTACTACGAGTCAATATAAAGGCATTTTACACGAAGATACGATCACTTGATGAGAAAGTGATGTAGATTGTGGTTATCCTATTGGAATTGAAAATACAAATCTATTCGGGTATTAAATGATTGATGGTCTTCGAAAATGACTTGCTGCAAGGTCAGTGAAAGAGAAACGTTTAGATAGAACATTAATTCAATACTGCATTTAACTAATTGTATTAATATTAATATTTTTTTGCTTGTAATACGTGTAATATTGTATACTCATTCTATTTTGAAATAATTGATTTTGGATCTTTGTAAACATTTTTTTCTTTAAAAAAATCTTTATCTAAACTTTATAAAATACAATTAAAAATTAAACTGTAAAAATTTTTAAATTATTTTCTATTTCTTGTTTCAAGTAAATTTTGATTTCTATATGATCTCAAAGCTCTAAAGCCTCAATGGTATAAAGAATATCAAAAGCTGTAATTTATTTAAAATAAAGGTAAAATACAAGGATTATTTTTTTGAAGGATATTCTACATTGTAATATCTAATAGGCATATATTATTGTTATATTAAACAAAATTAATATTGCTATTGTGTTTGAATAAATAAATAAATATTTTCTTATACATTTGCAGATATATTTAACGCTATCAGCTCTAATTACTTGTTATGTAAGTGCAAATTATGAACGTTTGAAAAATTGGGGTCCATCAGAGAGCACATCGCATTCTTGGAATAACCAATATGACTTTTATGAGAGTGCTCCTTCCGAGATTTTGCCTGGTTACAGTTTTTATGAATTGAATAAAGATCGATCTATAGATCGTTTTGGAAGCCCATCTGAATCTTTTCCCGTTACTATGAAGAAAGAACCTATTGAAGAAAAATACTTGAAAAAAATTCCATTTTATGTGTTCTCTAATAAAGATTCTACAAAGTACAAGGAATTGACTCCTGACTTAGGAGTAGCGAACTGTCAAGAAATTAAGGTGAAATCAATTGGAAAGGATGGTGAACCAAGGAAAGGCGTTACAACTTGTTACAATTGCAAGGATCCAAAAACTAAATCCACGTATGAACGTTGTTTATATAGCAGTCATCCAGAAGAGAGTGTATCCGCTAATATGAAGGTGGAAAATTATTTACCCGCACCTACTAAATTCAGATATCGAAGGTAGCGATATTAAAGTATTCTTCGAATAGAAATATCACAAATAGAAATATCACATTCGCCAATTTATTGAAAGTTTGTTAAAACTTAATATTTGTACTTTAAAGAGAGGCAATTTTAATAATTTTAATATTCATGTTTATACGATCGTATAATACGTTTTTTTATCCATTATTCGAACTATAGATATATTTTTCAAAAAAGGAAAAAGTGAGACGTACTTCAATTGAACGCGAAAAAATAACGTTTCTTTTTAATTCAAAAGGTTTAAAAATGATACAGCTAGATAACTTTGAATTATTTAAAGAATATTTAAGGAAATATTTTACCATAAATAGATTTAAAAAGAAGAAAATAATTTTAAATAAAAAATATTAAAAAGAAATTTATTATAATCTTTCTATTTTAATTTATTTTTTCTAAAAAGAAAAATAATATCACAAAGTTGTACCAATTAAAATAAAATTTGTGCAGATTATATAATTTTCTCACTACATGCTACGATGTCATTATTATTATTTATTATCGCAGATCCAATTACGAAGAAAACAATGATTATGGAAAAATACGAAATCCTTATCGATTTACTGATGAGTATTTTACTGATGCTACTCATGACGTACCAGCTGCATATGAAAACAAGGGAGAAAAATGCGATAAAATCGTAAAAGATTCTATGGTGTGTATGGTGTGCAAAGACGCTAAGACCAACGGCAAATATGAGCAGTGCTCGTATGTAAAGCAGCCACATGAGAAAGCATATTCTTACGTCAAATCCAGCACATTTGGAAAACCTGAGAAAAGTGAGGAAAATGACAACAATGAACAACGTCCCGAGTTAACTTCTCATTCCGAAGTTTCTAATTTTGAAGCGTCTGATCACCAAAAAGATCATAGTCCAAGCACTGAATCTCGTGAATATTCTTATCCTAGCGAGAATTATTCCGAGAAGGCTTCGACAGTGAATGAACAGGATGAAGTGAAGGATGCTCCTTCATCAGATTGTAAACAGATACAAAAGGATTCCAAATCCTGTACAGTGTGCAAGGATTCTAAGACAGGCGGTACTTATGAGAAATGCACTTATAATTATCAACCCAGCGATAAATTATATAAATACAGCAGATCAAAAACCTTTGGATATCCGGATAAGACTTTAGATTCGACTCAGGACAGTCGGGACTCAAACAAGGGTCAAGCATCGGAAAAATCAAAGACTTTTGATTATCCGCAAAGTATCAATTCTGCGCCTGATTATATAGGTAAGATTTCAAGCTGATAGAGTAGCCTATTCTTCACGAACGATTAAACATGATTGATTCTTATATATAGTTATAAAGTCAATCAATCACATTCAACTGCTCGGCTAACTTTAAATGCAGCCATTTATTTTTTAATAATTATCTTATATAATTATTTTAATACTAAGTTATTTTAATTTAATTATTCTAATTTCCAATTTTTTAATATTTTTAGTATTAAATTAAGAATTAAAATTCTAGTAAGAAAAAGTTATTATTAAATGCTTTATATAAATACAGTTATGCAATGTACTGGAACTTTTTTATCCTAAAATTATGTTCTTTGAATATATATTTTGATTAAATTCTGTTATTGTGTAATTTTGGAAAGTATATTAAAGATGCTTCTATATTCTTTAAAAAAATCGAGTTTTGCAATACATTCGTATGCATAATATAACAAATGAAGTGTACAGCACAAGAGTTATTTGAGTTATAAATCACAGAAATTTTTACTAATAGCTTTTTAGAGAATGTATTGGCTATATTTTAATTATATTTACACTGATTTTTTTAGATAAATCAGAACACTCTACTTATCCACGAAAATCCAACAGAAAAGTAGAAGTCCCGAATGATTCTGACGGTACATCTCACAATTCACCCGAGTATAGCAGCGATTACTCTAGTTCCGAAGCGAGTGATTACCAATTTCCTTCATATAATAGCAATCCTGAATCTTATGATGGCCAAAAGACATCTTCCTCAAAACCTGTTTCGGAGACTTACTCTGAAAATATCAGTGAGGATAATTGTAAAACTTTACAGAAGGACTCAATGACGTGCAAGGTTTGCAAGGATCCGCAAACAGGCAATGATTTTGAACAATGTTCATACTCGTATCAACCCAAGGATAAGCTCTTTTCTTACAGTAAATCCAGCTCGT